AAAAGAAAGTTCTATGCCTATCCGTATTCTCACAAAATTCCTAGAGTTTTCTCTGTTATGACCGAGAACATTCATGCAACAAAAAAGATACGTCGGGCTCTGCTTATTCCGTTATTCCTACTGTCGAGCCCGATTCCCAATGCGCTCGCTAAGGCGCGCAAAATTTTTCGTGTATTTCCTGAATTACAAAAAGGAGAATTCCAAGAATCAATAGAACTTTCAAAAAATGGGGGCCCAAACGAAGCCCCTGAAATCAAGAAAATCGACGAGGGTTCTGTGGGGTCGGTATGATACACAAAGGGGTATTGGGTCAAGGGGGTACGAAAGATAGCACGGAATCGGGAAATGGTTCGTGACATATGTGAAGCGTAGGAGGTTCCAAAATTATGCGATCTCCTGATTGCATGAAAGCTCGAACAAAGAGAATATGAGGGGACGAAGAAGCAGGAAGAAGTACAAGGAACGAAGAAGCAGAACGAAGTAGGAGCTTGGATCACCATGATGTGCTGGCGACAACATCCGTGGCAAGATCTTCGTGAAGCATGCCGGCTCATGCGGTTTCGGATCCCGCTCACTGCAGTCCTGTCATATGCAACCCCCTGTCCTTCGAACTCTCGTGCTTCTGATGACGAATGTCAAAGTCCATGCTCTGTAGCACTGTCGCCCATCTCCCGATCATGCCCGAGTAATCCTTAGACTTCATCAGCGCTAATAATGGCTCATGATCGGTGACCAGTGTGAACTTCCGCCCATACAAATAGGCTCGAAAATGGCTGATCCCCCACAGAGTTGCATTGCATTCACCTGTCGGGGCGGCGTAAGTGCGCTTGCAAGCAGGCACCGACTTAGACGCATATTCCACCACGCATTTGAATCCGTCGGGTCCCACCTGGACCAAGATAGCTGAGATTGCCTCCAGCTGCCAGTCCGTGATAAGGACAAAAGGCTTTGCAAGATCCGATCTTATAAGGACCGGAGACGAAATAAGGGCTGCCTTGAGTTTCGAGAACGCCTGATCACCCTCTGGCGTCCAGATCAACGACTGATCCTTTTTCAGCAGATTCGTGAGGGGACCCGCAATAGCTGCCAAACCCTTAATAAACCTTCGGTAGTATGAGGCCTGACCCAAAAAGGTGCGAACTTGCGTGATAGTCGTGGGCACAGGCGCGTCTCTCACGGCTGCCACCTTTTGTGGTTCCGGTCTGAGTCCCTGGTCGGTCACCACGTGTCCCAGGAAGGAAATAGTGGTGAGAAAGAACTGACACTTTTCGAGCGTCACCTTGAAACCAGCATCTCTTAAAACGTGTAGCGTCCATTCGATGTGCTGCACATGCCTTTCGTAAGAACTCGAATAGACCAGAGTATCATCCATATACACGATTACACAGTAATTGATGATGCTCTGCGCCAGTCGTGTCTTCCACACAAAGTTCTGAAAATTCATATTCATGGCTCGCTGGAAGGTTGCTGGAGCATTGCAGATGCCCATCAGACATCGAACCCACTACCATGTTCCTTCAAACAGTACAAACGCCGTTTTCGGACAGTCCTCCTCTCGAACAAGATGATTATGAAACCCATGTCGAACATCAAACTTACTGAAAAATCGAGCACTCCCAATCGCATCCAACAACTGATCAATCTGGGGAAGGGGATACACATCTTTGACCATGATATCATTCAGCTTTCGATAATCGATGCATATGCGAATCCCTCCGGCCTTTTTGGGCACGATTACTACGGGAAACAACCAAGGTCCTATTGCAGGTTCGATCCATCAATTAGCCTCAAATTCCTTGATTCGCTGAAACGCGGCCGCCCGTTGGGATGGCGAGTATCGATAARGGACGCAGCTAATRGGCGGATGATCTCCTGTAAGGATGGCATGCTCAATCACGTTGGTCAGTCCGATATCGTTATCGCGCACACCTAATACCTCTACGTACCCATTTAAGACATCAATCAGTGATTTTCGAAATTCCAGGGGGACGTGAGAAGGCAGGGTGACGGTCGGTTGATCCGGTATCTCCAGGGGTATGTCGATCGACTCATCAGGCCGATTGCRTCGGTCATGGACGCTAGAAAAAATAGAGCGGCTGGTGCGGACACAAAATACAGTCGCGATCATTTGAGATTTAGCAGGGCTAATCATCTCGGTCTCTTTAGCTTCGGCGTCAGTTTTCGAATTAACCGAGGTTCCTTTTACTGTTAGTCCGATTAGATCCACCATTTCCTGCATTAGATCGGGCACATCGCTGACAGGGGCTTCGACATCTTGTTTAATCAGAGCGATGGTCGCTTTTGTCGTAAGCAGTGATCTTGGAGGGAAAACAGAAACATCCAGGTATTGTTTTGCCTGTTAATAGCGTGTTCGTAGGGAAAGTGTTCCCTCGTACAAGGTGCGAGGGGGTTCCAAATCGTCTGCCAAGTCAGATATTTGCAGGATGGGTTCTCCGAGAAAGGTCGAAGGACTGACCTGGGTTTCCATGGACGAGAACGCGCTGTCTTTCAGATGGAAGGTTCGGGCGGCTCTGGGGATCATCCGAAACTCCTCGGGGGTTTTATGCTCGAAAAGTTCGACCAAGTGTTTCCATTCACTCTCGCTAGGCATCTCTTCCTCGCACTCCTATTCTTCGAATCCTTTACTGTCATCCATGGATGGAGACTCCTCGTGATCGGGACCTTGAATCATCCCTATCCGAGCAGGGTTAGGATTCCTTTTTACTGCTCGGGTTGAAATCCGCAACGGAACCGTTTGAAGCTTTCCTCCTGCTTGTGTGAGCACCAACTGTTTGGAATCGAAATGCATGCGGGCACCTACCGCCATTGCCCGAGGCAATCCCAACAATACCGAATATGAGTGCACATCTATGACTAAAGTGTTAACGAGGACGTGCAGTCGTCCAATTTCACAGCCACATTCTCGATGACTCCTACAATATTCATTGCTTCCTCGTCGACAGAGACGTATTGGTCCTTGCCAGATTGAGGGAGAATCGAGTTGAGTCGGCCCGTTCTTTTTACCGTGCCTAATGATATAGCGACCGCAGAGAAGCCAGTATCGATGAGAGCGTTAAAGGGATTGCCCCATACCTCGCAATCACATTCAACACTTTTCCACAACACTGGTCGAGATCTCACGAAGTGATTTTTCTCTGCTAAAGAAATTGCAGCTACTCGCGCTGCTTCGGGTTCACCATCTTCGGGTTCGGGCGATGCAACATCCTCCGCTCCTTCTTCCTTCTTCTTCTTCATCATCCGTTGTATGCGCTGGTACGTAAAACGCGTTTGATTCTTCTGACATTGTTGCAGCAACTTGTCATTCACTGTGGTAAGCAAATGCCCCACCGGGAACGGAACACGAATGTCCAGCTGCTTAAGCGTTCTGAGGACATCCAACATTATGTTAATACATGGCCCCGACATGTCAACGATATCGTCACAAATGTATCTGGAAGACCGGTCTGTAAGTGTGATGCAATTTCAGCAATAAAGACATAAAAAACCTCACATTTGTACAAGGTTGGGAAGTGAGTGTCACTTACCCCATAATATACCAACAACATCTTCATATATGATCCCCAGTTCCCAACCACGTCATCACAAGCATGAGTGACTGTAATACGATACAAACAATAACAGAGAGAGAGAGAGAGAGAGAGAGAGAGAGAGAAAGAGAGAGAGAAAAAAAAAGAGAGAGAAAGAGAGAGAAAGAGAGAGAGAGAGATGTTTGTGTAACTGCAACATTTCAACACAGTTGGCAACTGGGTGTCACTTATGGCGGAATACGACAACAACATGTTAATACACGGCCCTGACATGTCAACGATATCGTCACGAATGTATTTGGAAGACCGGTCTCTAAATGTGATGCAATTTGAGCAATAAACACATAAAAAACCTCACATTTGTACAAGGTTGGGAAGTGGGTGCCACTTACGTCGTAATATACCAACAACGTCTTCATATATGGCCCCCACTTCCCAAACACATCGTCACAAGCGTGGGTGACAGTGATACGGTCAAAACAATAAGAGAGAGAGAGAGAGAGAGAGAGAGAGAGAGAGAGAGAGAGAGAGAGAGAGAGAGAGAGATGGCTTAGGAACCAATTTGTGTAACTGCAACATTTCAACAAAGTTGGGAATTGGGTGTCACTTATGGCCGAATACGACAACAACATGTTAATACACGGCGCCGACATCTCAACGATAGAGAGAGAGAGAGAGAGAGAGAGAGAGAGAGAGAGAGAGAGAGAGAGAGAGAGAGAGAGAGAGAGAGAGAGAGAGAGAGAGAGATTGTGTAATTGCAACATTTCAACAAAGTTGGGAACTGGGTGTCACTTATGGCCGAATACAACAACAACATGTTAATACACGGCGCCGACATCTCAACGATATCGTCACGAATGTATCTGGAAGACCGGTCTGTAAATGTGATGAAATTTCAGCAATAATGAGATAAATAACCTCACATTTGTATAAGGTTGGGAAGTGGGTGTCACTTACCCGTAAGATACCAACAATGTTTTCATATATGGCCCCCACTTCCCAACCACATCATCACAAGCGTGAGTGACTGTGATACGGTCAAAACAATAACACACACACACACACACACACACACACACACAGAGAAAGAGAGAGAAAGAGAGAGAGAGAGAGAGAGAGAGAGAGAGAGAGAGAGAGAGAGAGAGAGTCCTAGAATTTTCCGCGTTTTGACTGTTCTTCCTCTGAATGTCCTCCGTCCATCACAGCATCGATGGTGTCGTCTGTGGTGAGAGAGAGTCGACGTTTCGGTTGTGCATTTATAATTGCATATGCTGTTGACATTGTGGGATGCACGGTTCCTCCGCATACAGTGGCAACTACTCCATGTATGATGCAGCTGAGGTTCACACCCCATGATATTGATGTCATAAGAATTGTCTCCTTATGTACGAGAACAAACCATGATTTTCCTGTGTGACGCCATCGTTTGTCGTTTTCCATGCACGACATAACTGCCTTAACGCCTGCGAACTGAAGAGACTCGTCCGGTGTTATTGTCTTGTCCAGAACACGTATCAATGGGTGTGGCTCTGCGAAAACACGTGCCAACCTTAAAATTGCATGACACCACTCTCTCGGGGACTGTCCACCACCACGCTGAACGTCCCAATAAGAGTCGTATTCGTCACCCTCCTCGTCATCGCAGATATCACTGCCACTCAATCCCACCTCGCATGACGGCGATTTATAATCATCCCCTATCTGTGGATTGCCACTTTCACTAGTTCCGCCATCCGCATGCACTCCCTGGAATGCCACTTGTTCGTGTCCTTCGAGGATCTCATGTGAAGGACGATAGGGTGGTAATCTCCACACTCTGAATGCATTATGGACACTCAATGTATCCGTAGTAGGAATCGTCAACGGGTTCTGAACCGCTGTTATAGATCCCACGCCACTTGTAGTGTGCAGTGTGCTATCTGGCATATGGTGTGTCGCATTGATTGCTTCTACAACAACCATTTGCCATCCTTGCATTCTTTTGCTTATTCTCTCCGCTTCCGTTGATGCCCTGGTGACGTCCTCCAGGACTGTGAATATGTCCCCCTGACATATTGGAGTCCCCGATACTAGTTGATTTTCATCCTTTGTGCTGTTGACATCGGCAAGCTCTGCTGCTGCTATTGCGTCCTCTGTCACCTCGTGTAAGGCCTCGTGAATCAAATTTGTATCATTATCTGGCTTCAACACAAGATCTATAATCTGATCGAGCAAAACGTACTTGACATCGTCCACCACCACTGTTGCCAAATCATGGTAGTCAATAGGGTCTGTTTGAGGTAGCTCGTTCATCCTCCTGAGTGCCAATATCTCCGCTGCATTACTCTTCAATATGTCATGCGCTTCTGTCTTCAACATTCAAGCTTCCTTCGCCCGAGATGTGACGAACTTCTTGAACGCCGATCTGTCGTAAAACCCACCTCCCTCTCTCTTATTCTTGTCGATGTCTTCGTTATCACACATCCATTCCACAACTCGCTGAAGGGTGTACGCAGAGCAACATGCCAACGTCTCGTCCTTAGCCACGTACGCACTTTGCTGTAAGCGATGCAGCAACTGCTGCGCTCTCGTCGATTTGACTCTGTTTGCTGCTATTGACCTCTAGATATCGAAGGTGACGTTGAAGTACGCCGGTGCTCTTTCGCGTCATAGTCTCAACTCGTCCTCATTGTCATAGTGGATTCCCTCTGTCACGTACTTCATCACCTCTCTCTCAGCTCTCTCCACTTGTTCCGCCGTCATTGCCGTCATTTTTCTATCTTTTTATGAGTCCGTCTGTCAGTGCAATGACAACAGTGTCGTTCAGTCCAAAGACGGGGGGGTGGGGGGGGAGGAAAGAGCATGGCAGAGATGGAGGTTTTCGCCTCTCAACAAGATCCTCAAATAGACTTACTCTCCTCTCTCTCTCTCTCTCTCTCTCTCTCTCTCTCTCTCTCTCTCTCTCTTTCTGTGTGTATATATATATCGTCACAAACAGTATATATCTATATATATATATATACATAATATATATATATACGAATCTCAACTTTTCACAAGCACTGCAACACACTTTTGAAGGGTCGCACACACAGCAACAGTATCATCAGCCGTTATGCATGGTTGGGCACCGGGTGCCGCCTACCAAATGATGGTAAGTGTTCTTGTTGAAACGGCCCCGCACGCGCCAACCTTACACTTTTTTTTTTTTTTTCCTTTTCGTTTTTTACATGTCAGTGTGTCTGCCTATTGTGCTCGTGGTGTGCTTGTGACTTCGGATGGGTCTGCATGTATAAGTGTCTGATAGTGAGCATGTGGTCCTGTCTTTTGATGCGTTCTCATATTTTCCACATACTCTATATGAAAGAATTTCATTGCACGATAACTCACATTTTCTTCTGTTGAAAATAAGAGTGACCATCGAAACGTCACCAATGTCCAGTCGCGCGATGACAACCATAGAAGGGGATAAATATTGACAGGAAAATACAGTGTTATTTAATTTAACAGACAGCATTTGCGAACTCCCCCCCACTCTCCCCCGCACTCCCCACCCACTCCCCCTCCGCCTTCGTTGTTCATATCAAAATAGACAATAAAAGGACAAACGAAAGAGACACAAAACAATGGAAATGACAACGGTCGGCAAATTTTTGTTCTATCAATGAACACGTGGGAAGCGGAATGCGTTCGTATCACCCAAATATATGATATATGACAAACAAAAGAAATATGCATGCTTCGTAGTTAATAGCGGGATTAGAAATAACATACACCGACTTCAAGAACAAATCTGTCGTACATCGCCGAAGTCCAAGGTTGGGAAGTGGGTGCTACAGACAATAGTACACGTGCATCCTGCTGCAGGACAAAAATGTTTGTGCTCTCTCTCTCTCTCTCTCTCTCTCTCTCTCTCTCTCT